CGCCGGCCCCTACGCGCAACTTGGCGAGTAGTGAAGGCGCGCGCGGCGGCGGCGGTCGGCGGGCTGCCTGGGTGAGCTGCCGACGCTCCGGGCACAAAGGGACGCTCCTTAATTGAGTGCCGTTGAGCGGCCCGCAGCCTCGTACCGAACGCGCGGCGCGGAGGGGACCGGCCGGCCAGTGCGTCCCCGCCCTTCCTCGCAGTCAGTTGACTTTGAGCGAGGCGCCGCAACCTAACCGAAACGACACAGTCGCCCTGTGGCTTTCCTGTCATTCCGTTAGCTAGCCCGTGGTTTTCTGGAGGTAGCGTTTCCATGGATGTGGGGACACCTTAACAAAAGCTTTACGTTTTCACACGGAGACTAGTTTCTGCACTGTTCTTCAGATGGCCAGTGTAGAGGAAAATCGACGTTAAGCCATACGCATTTCTGGACATCTTGTACAGATAGCTACGTTGGGTTATTTTCTCAACACTGGCTCATCTGCAGTGGTATTCTTGGCTTCCTATGAGCCTGTCAGGCTCCCACCTTGATGACCACAACTCTTACTTTACGTGATGATCGGCCAGTCTGTCATGGGAAGTGTCTTCAGACCAGTACCTATTTTGAGACTGTCCTCACTGTTGCTTTTTTTTTTTTTTAGATTGAAGTAATTTTTCTTTCTTTCTTTCTTTCGTTTTTTGGGTTTTTTTGTTTTGTTTTGTTTTTTTCTCCGGTACGAGGAATCGAACTCACGACCTTGCGCTTGCCAGGCAAGCGCTGTGCCGCTGAGCTAAATCCCCACCCTACTGTCTTAGAACAGGGAGCAATTTTAAAGAAATGGGAAGCCTCTGCCAGTTCTGAGCAGGAGAAACTTTTGAGAAGAGCAAGTGTGGTGATTTTATTTACGTCTTAAGAGCTGGTGCCTTGCCGAGGTGTGGCTGCAGGTTGTGCTGTAGCTGTGGAAGGTGGCTGGGGTTTTGGCTGTGGGGCTGGAGTGTTGGGTACTAGGTTCAGAGGCACACAGCAGCAGCCCAAGGGTCTCCTGGGACCCTGGTTTTGGACCCGAACAGTCACTGCTGCTGAAACCACATTGGTTCAGTAGTTTGTTTCCTGCTCACTCCCCACAGAAGCTTCTGAAAGTGTCCAGGCAAAAGCGTGCATTCGAGGGCTTCCTGGAGCATCAGGTAAGGAAGAGGGAGAGTCTGCTGACGGCATCCCTGTTCAGATGGTCCACTGACTGACCCTGGGAAGTGGGTCTTTTCTGCTGAGGGTGTCCACTGGCTTGACCTGGTACAGCCAACAATCTCCTTTGGGCCTTAGTGATTTGGTAGTGTGTAGGTGTACACGGGGACGTTTTACGGCAGGTCTGGAAAGGGCATGAGAGGTGTGTGTCGTCCACTTGATGCACACCCTGACCCACTGTGTGTGCTAATGGGCTCATGCTGAGAGCTCTGGGAAGAGCCTTGCTTCTGAAAGCAGGGAAGCAGCTGTTTGCACTCAGAGCGCATCTCTAGGTGGAATCCTGCCAGACCGGCTCCCATGCGCCCTTCCCAGGCCCCAGCTCGCCTCCCTCCGATCTCCTTGGCAGGCCTGTGGCCACTGTCGTCCTTTGAGCCATTGCTTGGCTTCCCAGTCAGCATGTGGATGGCTTACTCCTTGCTGATCCCTCGCCTGGTATGGGGCCGGGACATAGTTTATGCTCAGTGTATTTTGCACAGTCTCTAACACCAGCTCTTGTCTGTGGGTGTGTTTGGAGAAGCAGATGTGTTAGTGTCCTGTATTCACTATACTTCTGCCAGTATCAGGGATCCGATATGCTGATGGGGAATCTGTTTCATGTTTTCCTCTTAGACCGTGGCCTTCTGTATTCTTTGGTTTGTAGTTGGTCACTCCAGCCTCAGCTTCAGTCTCCTGTGTGTTTCTGTGTTCGAATCTCCCTCTTAGGAGAACACTAACCCTGCACACCCTTGTCTTAACTTGACTACATTTACAGGTGGTCTGTTTCCCAACTCAGCCCACAACAGTGCAGTCTGGCCCATGGGGGTGCATGTGCGTGTGTGTGTGTGTGTGTGTGTGTGTGTGTGTGTGTGTGTATGAGCTTACAGAGAAGGACAACCAGGAGGCAGTGGAAGGGAGACTTACAAGCTTGAGGAAGTCATGGGTGGTCCCACACATGGCTCACATGGAGCAGATACCTGGGACCCAAGGCGGAAAGGCAAGATAGCTGGCTTGACCTGGGGAGGCTTAGCTGGTGATGACTGAGCAATGCATATGATGCAAAACTGTGTTTTGCTAAGAACAGTGGGGAGCATGACTGCCTGGGATGCCATGTCCCCAGACTCCAGTGACCCATGACTGGCCTGCTCTTATGGCCAGGGACCATGGTGTCCCTAAAGTCCAGCACTACACCCCTGACAGTGCTGGTAGCTGTGGGGTACAGTGGTCACCGTGGCTGTGTGGCTTGATAGGGCATGTTTTAAGGACCCCTGGGGTGCCCTTTGCTGCCTGGCATGCAGTAATTGCTCAATAAATGCAAGAACTATCTGCCTTACTATTTGTATTGTTCTCCTTGTTGCATCTTTGTCTGGAGAATGGGGAGGTAGGGAAGCAGCCCCTTGGGAGCAGGCCCAGAGCTGATGGGGTGGGTTTGCTAGAGTGGGTCTGGTATGGGAAGACAGACCAGCAAGGGTGGTGCCCTGCCCAGGGTCCAAGAGCCAGGGAGTAGTCGAGGCCAGACAGCCCAGCCTGGTGTGGCTGTGCCCAGGTGCAGGGGCGAAGGGGGCCTGGGTACGAGACGGCACTCTGCATAGGCGATGTGTGCCCAGGAAGAGCATGGCAGGCAGGGGGCCCCTGCGCTCTCCTCAGACCTGGAACTGCCGTCTCAGAGAACACTGGCAGATCCAGTTAGGGAGGAAGTTAGAGCTGCCCCACAGCTGTCAGTGGCTTGGAGAGATGAGCCTGCCATGGTGAAAACACTTTAGGTGGCTGTTACTGATGGCACTTTTGCCCCTGGGGGCAGAGGTCCCCCCACACCCAAGGGAAGCAGAGATGGGGAGATGGCCCCACATTCCAGCCCACCTGGGGCCCACCTTGGGAGGGAAACCCCCCTCCTCCGGCCAGGAAGGCGGAGCCCTTTGGTTTCCTCACCGTCTGCCTCTGTGAGGGTTGGAGGTTGGCCACTCCACAAGACTCTCACACCAGAGCGCTTTGGCCCCTGAGGGTGGGGAGGGGGCTGGAAGGTGCGATCTCTGGGCGAGGGGTTGCAGCCAAGCCTCATCCCTTTGCCTGCTGAAGCCCTCCTGTGAGCCCTTCTGCGGGGTACCCCAAAGGTGTCTCTGGGCCTGCTGCCTAGCACCCTAGAGCCCTCAAGCAGGAGGGTGACAGTGCATGTGGATGAAGAACAGGCCGCGCGCCTTCCTGAGCCTTTCCTTTCCATGGCCAGTCTCCTGGCCGAGTTGAACCTAGGGCAGAAGGTGAGGGCAGCTCCCTCCCTGCTGGGCCCTCGGTGCCCGCTTCATGTGGTGGCTTCCGCCTCCGTGCTTGGGATCACAGGGCAGCTTCCGTGGAGTCCCCGGGCTGCAGGCGATGTTCACGCCATGCTCCCCTCCAGCAGGCGCAGGGATAAAGGGTGGATGCCACTACCACGGGACCAGAGTACCCGCCAGGTAGGGGACAGGTGGGTGCTGAGGTCTCATGAGACCTGTGGAGCTGGGAAGGGGCAGAGCCGGGCTGCAGTGCCCAGTCCCTGGCGGGTGAACAAAAGGGACCTGAAAGGGTTGGGAGGAAGCTGTGGTGGGCGTGGGTGGGAAGCAGGCTCCTGGAAAAAACTTTACTTTTCAGACTGGGGAGATGTGTGGGAGGCAGCAGCCCTTAGTGTTAGGGGAGGCAGGGGGAAGGCAGAGCCGGCCTCCTAGGCCCAGATTCCTCTTTCTTACCCTGGTCTGTGCACATACTTTCCCAGCCTTGGTGCCTCGTGCTTAGAGTGAAGACGCTGATGGGACCCCATTATAAACTGTGTTGTAGTTAAGGTGATAACCTGGCGTGGCGCTGTAGCTGATTATCTTTGCCCTTTTGACCTGGCACTGGATCAGTAGAGCACGGGCCAGAACATAACATTGGTGTTCGGCATGGGAGGTGAGGACCCCTCTAAACCACAGGAGACCATCACCAGGCCAGGGACTTGTGAAGAAGATGAAACTGGTGGAGCATGGATGGGACACAGCCAGACATCATAGGATTCTAATATAGTACGCACGTCTTTCTCCAGCATGGAGACCCTCACAGATGCAGGAAGATCTGGTTGGCGGGAGTAAGCGCCCAGAGCAGCATGAGACAGGAAGTGACCCCTGTGCTTTGTGAGAAGGGCGGAAATACGTTTGTTGTTACATCCCTGTTGTGTAGTTTATCATGTTCTTAGAGTCGTTGACCATTGTGCATGTGTGTCAGACACATCGTGTGCAGTACCAGGAAGCACGAGCCGTTCATTGCCTTTCACAGACCCTGTGTGTAAATCTCGGGGGTAGTTTTGAAACCCACATGCTTAATTCACATCTTATACAATTGGGCAGATGTTCAAAAGCACCTCAGTGACTTCTCTTTTTTTTTTTGGTACCGGGAATCAAACTCTCAATCTCATATTTGCCAGTCTGGCTCTGTGCCCCGAGCTGTATCCCCGGCCTGCCTCATTGACTTCTGTCAGTAGGACTGCAGAGCTCTTCAGAAGTTGCCTTGGGTTGGTTAGGTCATTGTTCCTCTGGAAGTGTCCTCAGGATAGGATGTCGTCCCTTCAAAAGTATCGTCAACCTAGAAGTCGGGGGAGGGACAAAGGGGATGAAAAGAACTGAGCCGTGTTGTCTCCGTGTACCAGCCTCCCACGAGGAACGTGATCACTGTGTACTGCAAACGGGTGCTAATAAAAGGTTGAAGAGGAAGCAGAGTGTCATCAGGTCGTCACTCACCTGACAGTCTCAAGGTTAGGTCCTTTCTTCTCTGGGAATCTCCACAGGGTTAGGTCATCTGTGCTCCTGAAGTCTCCTCAGAGTGAGGCTGTCACTCCATCAGTAGGATGCAGTACTGAGTTGGAGGCTATTGCTCTTCCAGAAACCCCCTTTTGGTTAGATGGTCACTCCTCCTGGTTCCCCAGAGTAGCCCATTGTTCCTCCAGGTGCCTCTGAAAGGGTAGGACGGTGCGTCTCCTGACGTCTCCTCAGAGACAGATCATGGCTCTTCTGGAGGTCTCCTCAAGTGAGGTAATCCCTCTTCCAGAAGTCTCTTCAGGGTCAGATCATCATTGCTCTAGAAGCCACCTCCGTGAGATCATGAGTGTCTGGCGTTTCCCCCACGGTTAGGATATCGCTCCTCCAGAAGTCTTGCCAGGGTTAAGTCACTGCTTCTCCAGAAGTCTCCCCAGGGTTGTGTCATTCCTGCTGTGTAGCTCATCACTCCTCTGGAAACTTCCTCAGGATTTAGGTCACTCTTCCAGAAGCCTCTTCATTGTTCCACCAAAAGACTTGGAGGGGTAAGAGAAGTCTTCTCAGTTAAGTCATTGTGCCTTTGGAAGTCTCAGTCCTCCAGAAGACTCCACAGTTGGGTCCTTGAGGCTCTGAAGACTCTCTCAGGATTGGGTTATTTCTCTTCCAGAAGTAACCTCAGTGAGTTAATTTACTCCTCCAGAAGTCTTGGATTAGTTGTTGTATGTCCTGGTGTCTCCCAGGTTAGGTCGCTCCTTCCCTTTGGTATTGAGTCAGCTCCTCCAGAAGTCTCCCTCAGGCTAGGTCGTTGTCCCCCCAGAACGCTGAGAGATACATAGGTCTTCACTCCTCTGAAATTCTCTTCAGAAATCTCCTCAGGGCTAAGTCGTTGTACCGCCATATTCTTCTAGGTAGGTCATTCTTCCTCTGGAAGTCTTAAATCGTCATTATTCCAGAAAGTCGCACTCAGGATTGGTCTCTGTTTCTCCCTGTGTTTTCTCAGCGTTAAGTCATAACTTCTCGGCCAGTTTTTTGAGTTACTCATGGATCCTCCTGATGTCTCTTAAGCATCATTGTTGATCCTTCAGAAGTTCCCCCAGAGTTAAGTTATTTTCTTCTAGAACTCCCTTTGGGATGGGGTTTTGTTGCGTGCAAGTCTCAGTGTTAGGTCTTTGGGCCTCTTGAATTTTCCTGTTTGATTATTCCTCCTTAGGAAGGCTCCTTAGGACTAGGTCATCACTCCTCTCCAAGTCTCCTCAGTCGGGTCTTCACCCCTCCAGGGCTCTGCTCAGGGTTAGAGAAGACTTCCTACTGTTGGGAAGTCTTCTCGGGCTTAGGTCGTCATTCCATTGAAAGTCTTATAAATCAGGTCATCATGCTTCTGAAAATCAGCTCAAGGTTAGATTACTGCTTCTGCTGACGTGCCCAGGGTTAGGTCAGCCCTTCTCCCAGAGTGGCCCCAGAGTTAGGTCATTCCTCCTCCTGAGGTCTCCCTGGGGTGAGCCATAATGCCTCCAGGAATCTCAGGATGGGCTTATTAGTTCTCTAGAAGTTCCCTCCAGGTTAGGCCATTAATCCTCCTGTCTCCCCATAGGGAAATTCTCTTCCAGAATTTCTTCAGGTTTTTATCATTGCCCCTCTGAGATTCTCGAGGTTAGGTCACCACACTTCCGGAAGTCTCTCAGGTGTCTTCTTAGGTTCACCACTTCCCCCGGAAGTCTCAGGGCTCGGTCACAGTTTCCCCGGAAGTCTCCTCAGTCAGACCATCAGTGTGCTGCAGGTCTATTTAGGGTTAGGTTATTGATATTCTAGAAGTCTCCTTGGCGTCAGTTCAGTGCTCTTCCAGAAGCCTCCTCAGTGAGGTCATGGCTTTTCCAGAAGTCTCAGGTTATATCACATATACCTGGCAGGGGAGATACCATGACTCCAGAGGTAGTTTCCCAGGGCAAGGCTTATCCATTGCACTGTTCGGTTGTTGCTCTTCTGGAAGTGTTGCTCGTGGGCAAGTCATCGCTCTTCGGGAAGTCTCCTCAGGGTTAGAGTCATTGCTCCTTCAAAAGCTTCAAAGACTGGGCATTGTTCATGCTTGTAATCCCAGCACTTGGGAGGCTGAGGCAGGAGGATTGCCTGGAGTTCAATACCAGCCTGGGCTACATAGTGAGTTCATGTCAGCCTGAGCTATACAGCAAGACCCTGTCTCCATAAATGCATAAATAAACAAACAATCTTTGCTAAGCTGAGTGTTTTACACGCCTGTGATCCCACCACCTTGAAGGCTGAGGCAGGAGGGCTGTTGCAAGTTTGAGGCCAATCTGGGCTATGTAGCAAGACTCCATCTCAAAAAACAAGTCTCCCCAAGGCTTGTGTCATCTGTTCTGTAGAAGCTTCCTCAGGGTTCAGTCATCATCTCACCAACTATCTTCTCAGGTCATTGCTTCTCCAGAAGTCTCAATTAAGTTATGGCCCCTATGGAAGTCTCTCTGGATTGGATTCAGCACTGCTCTGAAAGTCTCATTGTTTTTTTGTTGTTTTGTTTTTCCTTTGGGTAGTTGGGTTTGTTTGTTTGTTTGTTTAACAAGGTCTTGCTATGTAATTAGTCCAAGCTGGCCTTGAACTCACTTTGTAGCCCAGGCTGGCCTCCAACTCTCAACTATTCTCCTGCCTCAGCCTCCCAAGTGCTGAGGTTACAGGCTGGCTAGGTCATTGTTTCTTTAAAAGTCTCCCAGTATATCAGCACTCATGGGTCATAACTCCACTGGAAGTCTCCAGGGTTGAGTCATTGCCCCTCCAGAAATCTCAGTGTGAGGTCATTGCTTCCAGAAGGCTCCTCAGCAGGTTCCTAGCTCCTCTAGAATTCCCTCAGGGATTGCTCTGGAGACCTGTGGAGGTTCCTCGGATCCTCACTCTCTGGACACCTCCTTAGGGTCAGTCATCAGTCCTCCAGTTCTCCTCAGAGCTGGGCCTCTCCTCAGGGCATCTCTGGTGGGGGCTCCCTCAGGCCCAGGCCAGTGCGTGCCTGCACCCGCCTGCTCCCCGCACCCGTGTGGAGCAGCGAGGTGCCTTCCCCATCTCCCTGGAACCTGGCTTCTCCTCATCCCTTTTGGGTCTTTTTTCCCCAGGACTCTTGGTCAGTCTGGTCTCCAAGGAGGCCCTTCTGGGCTGGAAATTGTCCTTCAGCGCGAGCATCTGCAAGTTTTGTGAGCTGCTCCTCCCGGTGCTGTTTCTGGCTGTGCTGGAGAATTGATTGCTGCCCCACTTGGATCACTTTTTGAATTCCGTTATCTTTTCTATTTTCGGACTGCCCCGCTTTCTGCTTTCTAGGAGTTTCCCTCGATTCTATGTTCCAGTCTAACCCCTGTGTGTAGTTTGTTTTGCGCCTTTCTTTTACCAGCATGGTTTTAATTTCCAAGAGCACTTTTTCTGCTTCTTGTGTGGTTTTTAAATAGCATCCATTCTTTCCATGGATACAGTGGCTTCTTTTTGTCTTTTTGTTCCGTATGTTGATCATTGTTTTTGCTTCCTTCCTTAACTTAGGCCTCCAGGTATTGGCCATGGTTGGTGTTGCGTGGAACAGGCTCCAGGGCTGCTCCTGCTCAGCCTCGGTTGGGGCTGGGGCTTGGGGTCGGTTGCGGCGGGTCCTGCGAGGCTTGTGGTCTGTGGGGTTCCCTCTGAGGCTCTGCTGCCTTCAGGATCCCAGGGCCTTTCCTCCCAGGCTGCCCGCTTTCCAGGGAGACCCCACCCCCTCTGCCCGCATCCCGCCAGCAAGGCCAGGGGCCCCATGCACCTCTGGGGCTTCCGTGGCTGAGCACCTAGCTGGTGTCGGATCCAGCAGCCTGGCGCTGCCGCTCGGTCTGTCACACCTGTGCTCTTCCTGCGGAGCTCCTGCGCTGCTCTACACGCCCTGCTCTGTCCCGAGTCTCCCCGCAAGGGTTTGGATGTCAGCCTGTCCCCGTCCTGTCCCCGCGAAGGTGTTCGCCTTGAATCAGTTAGCGCTGCATGTGCTGTTCTTCTCACAAGACGTGGAAGGGGTACAGCCCATCCTGCGGTTGCAGCGTAGTCCACTCCCGTGATCTGTCGTGGCCACTTCACATTCCCCTTTGTGGCGTACTGTGGGTGACACTAATGCCACATCTGTGTCGGGTGCCAAGGAACGGCTGTGGGGGACAGTGTTTGGAGTGTTGGCTTTGCCCCCATGGAGAGAATCCCTCCCAGGAGGGAGGAGTCCAGGAGTGGGAGAAAGCCTTTTAGGGTGGCATCAGAGCCCCTCGGAGTTGCGTCCCCTCAGTGAACACGTTCACAGTTGGGGCCATCATTCGAATGTCTCGCTGTCTGGGCAGCGTGAACCACCAGCGCTGCATGTACGATTCCCATTTTTATTAGTGAAAAGACCAGTAAAAGTGGTTAGATCTGTTTGTACCACTTCTGTACAAGCCGCCCAATGGGACAGTCAGACGGGCAGGTCGGTGCCCAGCCCAAATGTGTTAATAACCTAGAGCAGTCCAGTGTGTCTGCTGAGGTATTTAACCACTCACCTGCGCGCAGGTGGGCTTATGCTCGGCGCTTGGCTGACAGTGCCCCCTGGTGGTTGCCTGTTTCAGGATGACACTGCTGAGCTGTGCATCTTGGCACAGTGGACAGAAAAATGGTAGAGTAGAAAGACTCCCTGTGAGCGGGACCCCAAGGGTAGATGGCGTGACAGAGCTGTGCTACAGGGTGGAGGGCAGGGCCGGCCAGCAGCCCAGGGGGCCGGGTCAGGTCCGTGGCTCCTCCTCCCCCTGGCTCCCAAGGCTCCGCCGTCTCCAGGGGCCTGCCGTCCCTGCCTGGGGGAGACCTCCTGACGGACACCAGCGCTTCCTTCATGAGAGTGTGGGCTGTTGAGGAGGACCCCGGCCCCACTAGGGCCAGCCTCCCTGCCCTGGGCTCCGAGCTCACACCCGCCAGCCGGGACCAGGGACGGGTGGCAGTTGGCACACTCAGGACTTGACCTCAGAGGATGAGTCAGCTGGGGTCGTGGGCACAAGGCACCCCCAGGAGTTACCGAGGGGTCTGTGTCGGGTGCCAAGGAACGGCTGTGGGGGACAGTGGCCTGGGAGGAGTGGGGAAGGCCCCCACTTGGGCTCAGGGGTCCAGTGGGCCACTGCTGTAAGAGCGAGGTGCCCAGGCTGGACAGGAAAGGGGTGTCGGTGATGATGGTGGCTGTCTCAGCCATCCAGCCCCGGCTGCCCCCAGCCGCTGCAGTCACTGAGGAGACCCCAGGGCCCCCAGTTTCTGCTGTGACCTGGCCGAGGCTCCAGGCAGATGCGTCGTGGCCACATTGAGGAAGCCCTGAGTGACCCCGTGTGTGCCCTGTCTGTGTCGTCACCCCATAGATGCTAGACGAGAACCACCACCTGATCCAGTGCATCCTGGACTACCAGAGCAAGGGCAAGGCGGCCGAGTGCACGCAGTGAGTCCCCCAGCGGCGCGTGGCGCAGGGTGTGTCTGTGCGGAAACCTGGGTCAGATGCGTCCTTGAGCAGCACCTCCCCACCCCCAGTGAGAGGTGCAGCCAGGAGCAGAAGCCTCTGGAAGGGAGTGGAGGAGGGGAGGCGTGCTGGGGAGCCCAGGCCAGCCGGAGCCCACAGCTCCACAGCCAGTAGTAGATACACCAGCACCTCCAGGTGGGATGTCCCGTGGCCCCAAGGGCCCAACACAGGACATAGAGTAGGCGATGCTGGCCACCAGGCGTACCTGGGTCGGGAGGTATGGAAGCACCCGTGTGAAAGGCTTTGGACCCCACCCTCCAGGCTTGATGTGCGTGAGTGCCCTGGGACCCAGGAATGACGTGTGTGAGGCTCTTTGAATCCCCCAGATCTTCCGATTTCCTTCCTGTGTGTCTCAGGGTGGCCAGTGCCATTGAGTTAGCCTGCTGCCTGGCAGGGCGGGAGCAGGGCTCTGTCCCCTGCAGACCCCACCTCCTTGGGGCCTGTCCCCCAACCTCCGGTCTCTGAACAGACCTAGCACACCTCCCATCTGGTCCCACCGCGGTGTGGGAGCCTGTGGGAACTCGGCTGGATCCACTGCCTGCCCGCCCACCCCTTCCTGGGCCACCGTGTACTGCCATGTGCCTCTTTACAGCTGGGCAACCAGACCAGTACCTGGGTGTCTTCTGGGGCCACTGTCCTGCAGGGCTTTGGCTGGAGGTCCCTGCCTCAGGAATCCACTCCTCACCACAGGTACCAGCAGATCCTGCACCGGAACCTGGTCTACCTGGCCACCATAGCAGACTCCAACCAGAACATGCAGTCTCTGCTCCCTGCTGTGAGTACCCCGAGCTGGGGAACCGGGCCTCTATTTACCATCAAGGATCAGACTGCTGCAGAGCAGGTTCTAAGCATGTCACCTCAAGTAGGAAAATGACCTGCAGGAACCAGACAGTGGGGGAGGTTGCAGAAACCAGGGGGCATGGGCACGGTGACACGATCCCTCCCGGGATGCAAGGGTAAAGGACAGTGTCTGAGGTGGGTGAGTTAGACTGGGGCTGTGAGCTGTTTGGCAGAGGGAAGTAACCCCACTAGGAGTGGTGGACAGCAGGTGTCTGCACAGACAGAGAGGAGTGGAGGTTCTCGTAGGCCTTTGTACCCCTCCGTTTTTCTTGTGCTGGGGTCATCCAGGGCCGCTGCACTGTGAGTCCTTCTGCATGGTGTGAGCAGTTACAGCCCGGGCACATGTGCTGCGGTGATGAAGAGCAGATCTGAAAGAGGAAAATCCTAGCGCAGTAAGCCTTCAGATGTCAGTATAAATGTTTTATTTCCTGTTTGATTTTTTTAAAGTACATTTTCTTCAAATTAAATTTTGACTGTGAAGCCGGATCCTGTGGCTGCAGCCTCGGCCTCCTTGTACTGAGACGGAGAGCACAGACCAGAACAGGGCCAGCCCCAGCTTGACCGGGGCTAGCAGTGAGGTGTGAGGACACCTGTGTCACCAGGGATGGCTCACCTTCCAGTGCCCCTGGAAATGGTGGCGCTTAAGAACACAGAACGTGAAGCCAGCCTTGACTGGCCTCTCAGATCAGTCCTTGCAGAGACCAGCAGATCCTGCTGGACTTCCTGTTTATGGCCAGTAGACAGCTCCCGTGTACAAGCCTTTAAGGCAGTGTCAGGTGGAGAGCCAGAAGTGAGGGCCGGGGTCACCTGGACTCTTCCTCCCTGCTGCGCCCTGTGCTCAGAAGTGGCTGGGGGACAGGGACGGGCGGGGAGTAGATGTGGGAGTACAGCAGTAGCATAAACCAGCTGGTGCAAAGGCCCGAGACATGGAGGGGATGTGGATGCTGAGGCGCCTGGCCAACGGGGTCCCAGCAGGATAGAGGGGCTGCAGGGTGGGGGCCGGCGAAGGAGCCCCCTTCGTCCCAGGAAGGACACACTTTTTAGCATCTGAACACACGTGGCTGAACTCAGCTGTCATCTGTGTCCTGAGTATTTATGTGCACCCTCTTTCATCCCCACCTGACCTGAAACGTTCTGCCCGGTGACTGTGGCCAGCCTGCGGAGTGTGACAGTGGCTGTAGGTTATGGCCCCACCGCAGATGGCCGTGAACCCCTGGGTGGCTGTGGCAGCTGTCCTCTGTGAGGTCACTGTCCTCACCTAACCTTCCCACCGCCCGCAGCCACCAACCCAGAACATGAACCTGGGCCCTGGAGGCCTGAGTCAGAGTGGCTCCAGCCAAGGCCTGCACCCCCAGGGCAGCCTCAGCGACGCCATCAGCACTGGCCTCCCCCCAGCCTCCCTCATGCAAGGCCAGCTCGGCAACGGTGAGTGCAGCCCCACACCGGGAGTTCCCCGTGACAGAGTCACCAGGCAGCTGCGGGCGATGAGCGCCCCCGGCCGAGCACCGCTCACCCACAGGGCTGGGCACAGCGCAGGGTGGGGAGCACGCAGCCCACTCTGTTCAGACACTGGCAGCGGGGGCCACTTCAAATGCAACCTGTGCAGATTTCTAGTAAGAAAGAATCGTTACTATCTTTGTGTTGGGAAGTTCCCGCCCTCACTATGGGCCTCCGCTAAATTCTTAGCCGCCTTCTACTACTACTATTACTGCTCCTACTACTGCTAACTTGAGACAGGGTCTCACCAAATCACTAAGTTGCCCAAGCTGGGCTCCGATGTGATCTCCAGCCTCATCCTCCAAGAGTGCTCCGATTGCAGGTGTACGCCCCACGCCTAGTAGACTGGAAACTGTTAAGAGCGGTTTAACAGGGGGCATGTGGTTCATCTGGTATTGCATGAGTGTGTTAACTTACTTTTTCACTCTCCACCTAATCATTTACTTCCTGCATGTCATGTTGCCCTTCTCAAAATGACCTGAAGGAAACTGGGGTGTCTTCATCCCCAGAGGTGGTGACCTGGCCTCCCACACCTGATGGCTCTCCCCAACACCGCTCCCGCAGGTCCAAACCACGTGTCCATGCAGCAGACAGCACAGAGCACGCTTCCTACGACCTCCATGAGCATGTCAGGTAGTGGCCACGGTACTGCGCCTGGCTACAGCCACTCGGGACCTGCCTCACAGAGCGTCCCCATGCAGGGCCAAGGTGCCATCGGCAACTACGTGTCTCGGACCAACATCAACATGCAGTCCAACCCAGGTACTGCTCTCCTCCACGCAGCCCAGGGAGCACGGCCTGGCTCCAAGACCTTTAGGAACGCCAGGTTGTACAGGAGGTCCCCAAGGGGCTGCCCTTCTGGAGGGCACTGGAGCAGAGGAGAGCATGACAGTGTGGTGGCCTCTTCTGGGACACAGAGGTGCCACCCCTGGGCTGTTTCTCACAGAGGCTTGAGGGAAGCTGTCCAAGAAAGGGTGGCCTTGGCCATGGGTCTGAGGTCCTGCACTGGGCTCGGGTGGGGCACAGTCACCCTTGCACTTGGTCACCTGTCAGAGCCACAGAAGTAGGAAGGAACAAGATCAGGCAGCACCAGGCTGGCGCCCTCCAGTGGGGCTGTCCTCAGGGGCCACTGGCCACGGCATGGAGATGGCAAGTGGCAGGTCCCAGTGTGGGTGTTCCCTGAGTAATGAAGCCACCAGATATTAGAGGGTTATTTATCAAAAGGATGGGAAGTATTTCTGTAATAATTTTCATAATAATTACATACTAAAAATTTATTTTGGAAATACTAGCTCCAATAAAATGTATTATTAAAATTTATTTCACCTGGGTTTTTTTTTTCCACATGTTCAATGTAGTTACTAGGACCTTTTTTGGGGGTGGGATGGGGTATTGGGAATCGAACTCATGACCTTGTGCTTGCCAGGCAGGCGCTTGTGCCACTGAGCTAAATCCCCAGCCCGGTTACTAGGAACCTTATGCGGCTTCTGTCCTGTTGCTATGGGGCAGTGCGGCTCTGGGGGTGTCTGAGCAGAGGACACAGGCTGAGTTTCACTGGGCCCAGACTGGGGGGAGCCGTGAGGCCAGGCCTTCCCCACAGGCTGTCTCTGGTGTTGTCCCCACATCAGTACATTTAAAACAGCTGCTGCGGAGGGCTGGCGTCTGACGTGTGTGCCAAAGCGTGGGCACAGCTTGTGCTGTGAAGGTGTGACTGGGGTCAAGGGTGATGTTCTCATGTGGAGCTTGAGAACATGATAGAGGTCGGCCTGGGGGGCCAGGTTTGCAGCAGGTGGGGAAATCAAAGGCAGCGCCAGGCCGCCGCCCCCCAGCCTCCCCGGGACTGTGGGGTCTCGTCCTGTCCCGTAGTTTCCATGATGCACCAGCAGGCGGCTACCTCCCACTACAACTCAGCACAGGGTGGAAGCCAGCACTACCAGGGCCAGTCATCCATCGCCATGATGGGCCAGGGCGGCCAGGGGAGCAGCATGATGGGGCAGCGGCCCATGGCACCCTACCGGCCATCCCAGCAAGGTAAGGCCTGTTCCCCCCGCCCAGCCGTGTGTCTGGAAGCAGTCTGCTGCAAAGGGCCGGCGAGCATGGTTTTCTCCATGTTGAACTGGAGGGTTGTGAGGTTCACATCATCACGTGCTGGGGATGTCTGCGGGTCTCTCTGTTAGAGGTCCTGATGGGGCCAGGCGTGAGTCTGGTGTCCTGGGGGGTGGTTGTTCCCAGTGCTTCATGCAGAGTGTTTCAGGGTTGGGCATTGGAAGGGAGGACGCCCCGTTCCCTCAGAGGCTGAGTGGGTGCTCTCGGGCATGAGGCCTCCTGGCAGGCCCTGCTGATGAGCTGTCTCAGCTGCAGGGAACACTGGCCCGGCTGCCTGCTGGTCCTGAGTGTCGTGTCTACCCGCAGGCTCTTCCCAGCAGTACCTGGGCCAGGAGGAGTACTACAGTGAGCAGTACAGCCACAGCCAGGGTGCCTCGGAACCTATGAGCCAGCAGTACTACCCGGACGGTGAGGATGCCGTGCTGGCTTGCACAAGCCACTCGGCTTGCTGTTCCTTGGGCGTTCGGAGCAGTAGCCCCTGACGCTCCTCCAGCAAACATCACGGGTCCCGTGTGCTCATGCACGTTGGGGTTGGCATGAGGGCTGCGTTCTGCAGGGTGTTTTGGGGCATGCTGCCTGCCGCTTGCCTCCGTGAGGCTTCTCCCTTTCCCAAAAGGCTGGCAAGGCCAGGCCCTCCCTGTGGTAGGTGGAGGTGAACCTTTCAGCAAGATGGGCCCAAACTCGCAGAGAAGTGTGTGCAGAAAGCTGGCAGACCCTGCTTGGCCCTGCAAGTCCACAGGTCCTCACTGTCACTCCTGCAGCTTGCTTCCCTTGGTGACCATTGAGGCATCTTTACATTGTCCTGGGATTTGTGGGAGCAGCATTTAAAATGGTTTTGAAGGATGGGCAATTTCAGGAGACAAAGGTGAGGCTTCCACGCTGGGCATAGTGGCACAGGCCTGTTCGCTCAACACTCTGGAAGGCTGAGACAGAAAGATCCAAGTTCAAGTCCCACCTAGGCAACTTAGCAAGGCCCGGTCTCAGAACAAGATATTTAAAAGGGCTGGGGTGTAGCTCAGTGTGGAAGGTCTGAGTCTAATCTCTAGTACAAAAAAAGTAAATAAATAAAGATGGAGCTCCCCAGAGGACACAGCACCCTGTGTCGGCAGGTGTGGCTGAGGGGTGCACAGCCAGACTGGGAGGTGGCGAGGTGCAGAGGCCAGCTGCGAGGCAAGCCCTGTGTGTCCTGGGTTGTGATGGCGCCCACAGTGGGGCCTGTGGTGGGTCATGGTGCTGCCTGCCTGGGAATCTCCAGAAGAAGCCAGGCAGGGATGAGAAGGGAGCAGCTGGTGCTGTCACGACGCAGACTGTGAATAGACTTGATCCTCCCTGTAAACTGTAACTTCACCTCACACAATTCGGGCCCAGGAGGTGACGTCTGCATCTGAAAGTGTGGATGCTGTGCTTGGAGAGGGTGGGGACACAGCCGCTGGGAAACAGTTCCTGTCCAGCTCTGCTGCTCTTCCTGCCTGCCCTCCCTGCCCTGGCGCGTGGCTCGGTTGGCTCTGCCCAGAGAGGGCAGTGAGAGGCCCCCGCTGACCTCAAGTCACCTATTTCCTACAGGCCACGGCGATTACGCCTACCAGCAGTCGTCCTACACGGAGCAGAGCTATGACCGCTCGTTCGAGGAGTCCACACAGCACTACTACGAGGGGGGTAAGGAGCGCGAGGGCCACGCGTTGTGCTCCCACACAGAACGGCCATGCACAGCGGTTCAGACACCGCACGCGGGAGCGAGCGTGGCCTCCTCTAGTAAGTCTTACCTAAGTCGCTGACAGGTAGTAGGTGTAGGCACAGCGGTTGGCGTAGAGCTCAGTGGAGAGCTGGGAATGCCAGGCTGTGTGTCAGGCCCCACTCGCCCTGTGGGTGTTTGGGAAACAGAAGAGGGTTCAGCCGGCCACATGGGAGGCGCTGGGGAACAACCCTGCCGTCTGCTCTGGCCGGCCTGCCTGGGGCCCTCCAGACTTCGTTGCTCAGGGGGCACAGCGGCGCCCCCAAAGCCCTTCTGAGGCAGACGGAATGTTGGTGGGTGGTGTGGCTACACTGGGGGCCTGGCATTTCTTCAGACTCAAGCTGGCCTGGTAAAGCGCATCTTTTTGTGGAGACTTCAGCCCTGTGGGGAGACCCTGGTGGCTCCTGTGGGGTAGAGGGCACTCAGGGGAGCTCCTCTCCAAGCCAGAGCCCTGGTCCGCGGTCCCTGCCTGTTTCTGTGGCACACCCCGCGTGTGGACGCTGAGGGGGTGGTGTCTGCCAGCACCAGCCGGTGGGGGCGCTCAGGTGGCCGTCAACTTGAAGGATGGTCTGAGCGCGGCAGGCCGGTCCAGGTGTCGGCAGTGGGGACACAAAGGCTGTGGAGAGCCTGCGTACGGAGACACACGAGCAAATGTGCAGCAGAGGACTCGTGAATACAGCACTCCCGGCGACTTTTTACATTATCTGTGGTTAATGCATTCTTGCTGGTTTGTACCACCACGTGCATGACTGTCCCCGGGCAGCTTGTACCACCTTGTCCCTTGCCAGGACATACAGAATACGGTCCTGCTGTGAACATGTTAGGAAGCCCACGTAACAGAATTCAGGCTTGACAGTCCGGTGGCATGGGGCACCTGTGTTTTCCTGTGCAGCTGTCTCGCGCTCCCTCTTCAGAACGCTGCATCTTGCAGAACTGAAACTGTCCCAGTTAAACACTAACTCCCCACCCCTAGCACCCACCACTCCACGCTGCGTCCAGGATCTGACTGCTCTGGGCTCCCACATGAGTGGGATCAGTGTCCTTTTGTGACCGGGTCATCTCCCTTGGTGTAGGGTCCTCAGGGCTCACCTGCGTTGTAGCAGGTGTCAGAATTTCCTTCCTTGGAGACTGACGTGCCCACACCCCTTGTCCCGCTGGGGTGGGGTCTCGCTCCTCACGTTCCCCGCCATGCAGATGCTGGCCTGCCCGCCCATGGGGTACTTCACTGTTGGCCCTGCCTGTCCCAGAGGTGAGCACAGTAACTCGGCCATCACCCTGGCTGGATTAGGAACCTGTGGCCGAAGGTAAAATGAGGGGAAAGAAATACACAAGGGGTCTGAAAATGAGATAATGCACAGGCACCTCGATACTACTCTCATCCTACGCGTTGGCTTGTCTTTGAGAGCTGGCGGTATTTTTATCCTGCCTCTCACTGCTGTGACGCAGGTGGTCTGCCCAGCTCCCTAGTCTTCCCGTTGGTTCTAGCCAGAGTGGGGTGCAGCTGTCGGAGAGGACAAACCCTCCCCTGCACAGCCATACCAGGACTCAGCAGTCGTGGCAGGCACAGTCTTCCGCAGTGCGACTTCGGCTTCATTTGGTTTTCACTACTGAAGACAAGCACGTGAGCCAGCTCTGGGCCTGGCGTCTGAACACCCCACAGCTCCCCCGCAGGGCCCTTCTCGTCGGCAGGAAGAGCTGCCGTGGGGCTGGCCGGGTGTGCAGGGCCGGCCCACTCGAAATGGCCAGCAAGCTTGTTTGGGCGAGTCCGTGAAGAACTGCATCTGTAAAGCTTTTGCTGTTAAGCGAACAAGTCCCAGCCTCCTGGGAAGAAGTAAACTACTTCAGTGTGTATGTTTATCAGAAGACCACATTGTAGACCAGAAATACATACTATTCTTGTCAGTTATACCTTAACAAAGCTAAGAGAAAAGTAAAATTAGATAAAAAAGAAAGAAACCACCCAGGAGCTGGTTGCAAAGGGCATCTTCCGCTTATTTGTACAACAGCTCAGAATTCCCCATACTGGGAACTGTACAAACCAGGCCCAGCTCAGAGACCTGGACGCGTCTTCCTTCCTGCCCGGAAGACGTCAGAGCTCAGCCTCCGCACAGTGGCGCCCTGAGCACCAGCCGCCCGGGGCCAGCCCCGCACTTCGTGACCCAGGATGCGCTGCTCAGCCTTTCAGCGTTTGAAGCGCACATTTTTGTGCTCACGTTTTGAATTGCGTGTTCTCGCCTTCCATAATTGATGAGTCTGCTAAAAAATTTAGTAACCCTCTGACAAGTGGCAGATGGCACGGTTTCCTTCTGGAAGTATTTTGTCTTGTCATTTTGTTAATTAGACCCCAGCACAGGGAACCCATGTACATATGGAACGCAGGCCTGTTGCCTGGCATGCATCACAAGGTCTTCTGTTGAGTGCGGGCTAGAAATGCGGTGTTCTGAGAAGACCAGGGGAGCAGTCTTACCTGTCCTCAGACACATGCTGCTGGTGGTACAGTGCAGAGGCTGTGGAGGTCAGAGCGGGGAGACTGAGGCAACAGCAAGAAATTCCTAAAGCTTCTACCACAGTGGATTCAGCAGCCTGTGGGTCATGGGCACCAGGTCATGTAGCTCGTGGGACATGGCATCTGTCAGGAGCCTGGGGAATCCTATAGACTGAGAGGACCATAGGAAGGAAGAGCCCAGGCTGGGGCCAGCTGTGCCAGGCAGGAGTGTGGGGCACTGTCCAGGTGTGCACACAGCTTGTGGAAGTGCATGACCTAGAAGAGGGAGGCCCACGGCTGATGGCAGCGAGCTTGTGGTCCTACAGCCTGGACAGAACCCGAGCCCACCCCGAGGTGGCCACAGGGCACAAGCTGCCAAAGCCAGGTGTGAAGCGGGTGACTGGGTACTCCTTCAGTGTAAAACTAGGGGAAGGGGCCGGGGCGTAGCTCAGCGGCACAAGCACCTGCCTGGCAAGTGCAAGGTCCTGAGTTCAATACCCAGTACCAAAAAAACCTAGGGGAAATAAGGCTGCACGTGTGCGTTTGTGTATGCCCACACACACAGCATGGAGTAACTGGAAAGTACCCAAAAAATAAGTCAGTCAGGTGGGTGCCCTCGCCCACTTACATGGGTGAGGACACAGGGCAGGGCCGGGGTGGACTGGCCTTTGTTTCGTGAAGGTATGTGTTTGTTTTTACACTTCGGAATTATGGGAATATATTGGCCTATTGAGAAGTTAAGGTTAAAAGTATTCAAATACTAAGCTGGGTGTGGTGGTGCACGCCCATTATCCCAGCACTGTGGGAGGCTGAGGGAGGAAAATCGCAAGTTTGTGCCCAACCTGGGCCAGTTGGCAATTAGAGAGACCCTGTCTCAAACGTGAGAGAGGGAGAGGGAGGGAAGGGTAGAGATACAGACAGACAGATAGCAGTCAGTATAGCTCAGTGCAAAGGCCCTGAGTTCAAACCTCAGTACTTAAAAAAAAAGTACTAAGTGTTATTGGCTGTCCTGGGAGATAGAAGGACTGACTTCAAGGCTGTCCATACTGTGTCCCTGGGGTGCTGCCTTGGACATTCTTAGCCCTTCGCCAAGTGTGAGTGCCGGGTCCTCCCCAGCCACTGGTGGCGTCTTGCTCAGCCCTTCCGGCCCCTCAAACACCTCCTTTGCCCATGGTTGCTTCACCTGGCACTGGATTCTGAGAAAGGAGCACAGTTTAGGAAGTCAGCGTGATTTTTAGATGGTGGATAGTGGGGAAGATGCAGATAGGCTTTGTAAAGTTCCCACCTGAGGGAGGAATTCACCCAGAGTGGGAATGCATGTAGGCTTCGTTACCCTCTGTAACCGCAGACTGAATTTCCCTAGTAGGATTTTGAACCTTCCCAGCGTGAACCACCTCAGCAATCGTTTTCGTAACGTATTGTTGGGACCCGGCGTTAGAGGAGGAAAGTTCTTTGCCAGAGCAGTGGAGTAGGAAAATGGGCTCCCGGGACTCCAGGTTCATGGCCGCCCCCGCCCCTCCAGGCCTCCGTGCTCCCTGCTCCGGCGCGCAGTTTGGTAACAGAGCTAGAAGAGTGATGTGCATGTGCTGCCCGCCCACAGCCCACGCGCTTTCCTGGGGCTGGGATTGGGCCCGCAGATGCACTTTGCATGGATGGAAAGGGCGAGGGCCTGCCTGGGCAGCGGCAGTAGGACGAGGCTCCAGCGTGCTGTCTGAGGGTGCTGTGGGAACTGTGTGGAGTGTGACTGTAGTGGGTCCCTCGGCCTGCCTGCAAGCCTAGTGCTGAGATTTCAGAATAGTCAGTGTCCCTCCGAAATCATGGTGCTTGTTTAGTTATGGCTTTCTAAAATTATGTTTCTCAGCCAGGCGTGGTGGTGCATGCCTGTAATCCCAACACTTGGGAGGCTGAGGCAGGAGGATCACCATGAGTTCGAGGTCAGCCCAGCTACATAGTGAGTTCATGGCCAACCTACACTACAGTGTGAGATCCAGTCTGGCAGAAAAAGTGTTTCTCACCCAGAACCTTCCCTGAAATGAGGCTTTTAGCATGCATGCTATCGGGTCATTAGATTTGTAGAAATGAAAATTAAGGCATTTTCTCTGAGAAGATGAACCTAAGCTCTCTTCTAACCTTTACCCGCCTTCCAGTAGCCTTACCACATGGGAAGCAGCTGCCTTCCCTCCCCTCCGGCATGAGTCTCATGAGATCTAAGGAAAGGCCCACGAGCCGGTAGGCTAGGGCACTGGCTTTAGCCTGATGTCTGTCAGGAATATCAGGGTATCTCAAATGCTCTGGGAGCTGTTTGGAAGTAGGAACTAAGGCTGTCTCTAAGCGTCCTGAGCCGAGGGAGTGCCCTGTCGGCCTGTGGCCCTTCACCCGGCTGTGCATCCCTGACGTTGTGGTGTGTATCAGAGGTCTTAATTAGTTTTATTGTCACTGAGAAAAAATACCCCACACCCGAAGTTAAAGGAGGAAAGATTATCTGGCTCACAGTTAGAGAGGTTTCAGTCCGTCACTGGCTGCCTCCTCGGCAGAGGCGAAACAGTTCATGGCAGGCGGAAGGCAGCGAGGCCGCGTGCAGCAGCCACAAGCAACAGGCAGCCACCCTTTTTCTGTCCCGTGTATCTTGTCCAGACTGCCTGGTGGGTAGTGTTCACACGCAGGTAGGGGCAGCCTTAATCTCAGCATCCCAGCCTTGATCCCAGCAGCACACGCTCTAGATCCAGCACCCTCCGAAAGGCCCCACGTATGAGGCTTTGGGGGGCATCTAGATACAGCCGTCACATCGGACGGGGGGAAGGCAGTGGCTGATGATAGGATATGAGTGTCCATCCCTGAGGACACAAGGGACGTGCTTCCTCCTTTGTTCCTACCACTTGGTTTTCCTTCCTTCCTTCTTTCCTTTTTTTGAGACAGGCCAGGCCTGGTGGGACACTACGTACTATAATCCCAGCTGTAATCCTAGCACTCAGGAGGCAGAAGCAGGAAGATCACTGATAATTTGAGGCCACCCAGACTACATGGTGAGACCCTATCTTAGAAAACAAACAAAAAAAAAGAGTGTCTCAATAAATTTACGGGCCTGGACTCAAACTTCAGATCCTCCTGCCTTAGCCTCTCGTAGTACACCACCATGCCCAGCGAATTCTCGCCACTTTCTGAAACAGTTCTGGAAGTCTTCCTTCGTGAGTGTCTTTATGAGGTGTGATCAAAATGGCAGTCTTGCTGAGTGCCATCCAGTGGGAAGATAGGCTTATAAAACATTGCAGTGTGTCCTCACCCACCTATTCACCAGGCCTGGCACCATGCGACTTCTGACTCTGCCACAGTCAAAAGGACCATGAAAGAAAAATATTTGATTCGTTTCAGAACATCGAGGTAGCAGTCCACAGTACAACTAAAGACACTCCCCAAAGGGGACTTCAAGAACTGCTTCAGAGAGTGGCAAAGCAATGGGAAAAGTTTGTTAGAAGTGAGAGGGAGTATTTTAAGGGAGATTGATGGCAATGTACCTTTTACTGTAATAATTTTTTAAAAAAATATGCAAAACATTCACTGTACTTTTCTATTAGAATATGTACATGTTGTTTCTTCACAACCAAGTCTACAGCTGACCAGCACCCCGACCCTTCCAGCCCCAAAGGACCGTTAACTGGGCATCTTAACACAGCAGGAATTCATGCCCTTGAGACTGCAGGCCCAAAGCCCGAGTCAGGGAGCCAACGGGGAGCTCCCTGCAGGGGGCCCCAGGGGGCTGTGTCCAGGCCTCTCCCGCTGCCCGCTGTCCGTGGTGTGAAGCCGCAGCACCCCAGTCTGCTGCTCGGCCACTCAGCCTGCCTCTGTGTCCACGCTTCCCCTCCTCGTGTGGACTTGGATGACTGCATGCGATCGCACCTGCACAGACCGTTTCCATGTTGGGTCACAGTCCCCTTTCGGGGGGACACGGTTCAATTCACAGTGGTGATGTCAGCCTTTGTCCTCATTGTATTAGTCCTTTTGTTTGTATTTTTATAAAATAATGAGAAAATGTAATCTTTGAATTATGGAGAAGAAAACATACTGCTGCTCCTGAGGCAGCAGTGTGGTCTAGGGAGGCCTTGGCTACTTGTGCCTCTGTAGTAGCAGCAGGCCACCCTCACTGGCCGGGGATGAGCTGTGTCCCCTCTTTCCACAGGGAACCCCCAGTACAGCCAGCAGCAGGCTGGGTACCAGCAGGGTGCAGCCCAGCAGCAGACGTATCCGCAGCAGCAGTACCCCAGCCAGCAGAGCTACCCTGGGCAGCAGCAAGGCTATGGTAAGAGAAGGGTGCATCTTCCCATGGTCCCCCGGTGCCCTGCCTGCCACACCAGGGCTGTGCACAGTGTACGCTCCCGTGGGGGAGGGTCCAGAACAGTTTTGAGGACAGCGCAGGGAGCTGTTGTGGACCCCGCTCCCCATTCCCCCACGACGAGCACTGCGCGTTACTGGGGTGCAGGGTACAGTTGTCACAGCAGAGAGAACAGCACGACTGCATTGCTGAGGCTAAGCCCCACACTTCATTCAGACCTCACTCGTTTTCCCCGATGTCCTTTTCTGTCCCCGACCCTGATCCAAGCTCGATCTGACTGTCTCCTTGGTCTTCTCTGGCCTGTGAGTGTCTCAGACCTTCCTGTCTCTCATGACCTTGACAGTTGGGGGTAGCTGGGTCAGGCACTTTGGAGAACGCCTTTGGTGGGGTTTGTGTGATGTTTGTCTCCACCTGGGGCTCGATCCTAGATTGGAGAGGAGTAGGGGAGCTCTCCAACCCCGCTAGTGCGCACACTCACCCAAGGTGATGCGGACCCTGCCCACCTGGCCAGGTGCTGCTCCTCTTCGGGCACGAGTCCCCGTCCCCCCTCTCAGGTGCAGTCTGCCTGCACTCTTTAGGATTCTGCTTGGAGACTGTCCTTTCTCCCCCACTCACTCAGCCATTTCTTTGTTGTATGTATTCACACTAGTTTCACATGTTGAGTTGTAATTTGTTAAGCTAAATCGCCCCAGTATGGGCCCCTGGGAGCTCTTCTCTTCTGATTGGCTCCTGTGTCTTTGGTTTTCTTGTTTTGGTTTTGTTTTTTTAGTACATTTGTATTTTCTTGTTTACTTTTGTTTTGGTTTGGTTTTTGTCATTTGTATTTTCTCTGCCACAGTATTTTCCCCGCCTCAGCATTTTCCCCGCCCCAGCTGTAGGAAAAGCGGCTTCCTTTCATTGGAAACAGCAGTCGGCTCTGGGACCAGGTGCAGATAAGCATCTTCTGCACCTGGTTTGCGGCCCTTTCACCCGAGGCCCCCCCACAGGTGGCTCAGCCCAGGAGCAGCGTGGCAGGTGCTTCCCTCCCCTCAGCGTCTGCTCCCCTCTCAAGGCTCACTGCTGTGACCCAGCCCACAAGTCTGCCGTGGGCACAGGGCCCTTGGGATGAGCAGGAAGGGCAGAGCGACCAGGGCCTGGCTTCAGTGGGATCAGAAGCAGAAATGCAGCTCGCCAGAAGATAAGCAGGAAAGAAAACCCAGCTTTGTGTGAGCCCATCTGTCCCTCTTCTTGGGAGCTTGTCCACTAGAAAGGGCCACACACCCGCCCCTCGGCTTCGGGAGGCTCCCGCAGTGCCAGCGCTCGCTGTGTGCCTGGAACCCAGGGCCACTGTGGGCTCCCAAGATGGCTGCAGCAGGGCCACTTCCTCCTGTCACCCACGTGCCGCCTCACACCCGTGCCCTCGGCACTCGACATGCGCAGTGAGAGCCGAGTGCAGGAGCACCCACCTGGGAAGCTGAGGCAGGAGGATCAAAAGTGTGAGGCCAACCTCAGCTGTAGATCAGGACTCAGTCTCAGAAATGCAGTGACAGCCCGGTGTGTTGGCACACACCTGTAATCATAGTCCTTGGAAGCCTGAGGCGTGATGGTTGCCTGGAGTTCAAGGGCAGCCTGAACCGCATAGCAAGACGTTGTCAAAAAATAAATAAATAAAGGCACAGTGAAGACCTGCTGCCAGGTGGGTCGGAGTGAGCAGGTGATGGGCTCATCAAGAGGGAGCTCGTGAGTCCTCAGCACCCACACAGGCGAGGCGGGACATCTTAATTAGTTGACAGTACTGGGGATCAAACACAGGGCCTCCCCATGCTAAGCACACATGACCCCTGAGCCACACACACAGCTCCTGAAACTATTTGTTGAGACAGGCTTTCACTATGTAGTTCAGGCTGGTCTTGAACTCTCAGTGATCCTCCTGCTTCAGCCTCCCAAGTGCTGATGTTGCAGGTGTGCACCACCACGCCCTGCTGAAACATCTTATTTTAGAGAAAATAAACATGTATCCATCAGCCATGGGTTCTCTGGACCGGAGCTAGCTTCATTCTTTCTGTAAACCGCTGGCCCAGTGCCTCATCCTTTTTATCAGCTTCAACGCTGAGGGCACAAGGCTGGTCCTTAGGCCTCAGCCTTTGTAGTACCTGAGAATTACTTGGGTGTGGCTTAGTGATAGAGCACTTGCTTCCCATGCACAAGGCCCTAGGTTCTAGCCCTGGTACTGGAAAAATTACATAAATAAACTGACTTTGCCTTTACTGATTGTTTCCGATGCCTTCAACTTAGTTTTCCCAGAAACTCTTCCCCTCATGCCTGGGGCATGTGAGGGGCATGTGACAGGACCCACTGTAACGGATACAGGCTGCTTCCAGAATAGCCACCGCCTGCCTCCAGCATGCAGCAGGCCCAGGTGTGTTGGGGAGAAGCCTCAGCCACCTGTGGGGCGGGGCACGGGTGGGGCCCTGCGGGACTGGTGCTCTGAGTCCTGTGCACAGCTCTCCTGCCACATGGACAGGTGTTGGGTGGTGTCCTCACGGCCTGGCTCCGGGTGTCTCCGCAGGGCCTGCCCAGGGAGCCCCCTCGCAGTACTCCAGCTACCAGCAGGGACAAGGCCAGCAGTACGGAAGCTACAGAGCCTCGCAGACAGGACCGTCGGCCCAGCAGCAGCGCCCGTACGGCTATGAGCAGGCAAGCTTTCTGGATGTTTCCAGACGTGCCCGTCCGCCGTGTCTGTCGAGACATAATGAAGATTTCTGTTATGGTCATGAGGAGTAATGGAATGGAACTAATTGGCTTCCAGGGCCCCTTCCAGAATGTTAATTCTCTGAGCCTGTAAGGTTTTTAAAAATTACCTCTGCATATATACTCACCTCAGTCAGACAGATGGCTTTTTATACCCCAGACTTACCGCTGGGTTCGCATGTGTGATTCTCTGCATGACTCATTCTGCAAATACCTACTGTGTGCCTAGCACACTTCGGGTCTCTGCTGAGCTCTGGGCGTGGGCTGTTAGGGCGGACATCTCCGTGAGGAGGAAGTCGCTTACCTGCTGGAGCCAGATTCTCTTCCTCGGGCCAGGCATCAAGCAGGGGCCCACAGAGGAAGCCTGGCGTGGACCCTGAGGTCTAGGCAGGGAAGCAGGACAGCGGGTGACACTCAGGTGCTGGTAATTACTGGGGGAAGCTACGGGGGACACAGGGCTGAAATGATGAATGGGGGATGGCACCTGGTCTGACCAGTAGCTCTGGAAGCCCTGTCTGCCACAGTGGCCGTCCAGCAGCGTCCTGAGGGAACCCACAGAAGAGAGTTCTTGGCGGACAGATGAGTGCAGCCTCCTGCATCAGTGAGGAGGCCTGTGGCTGGAGCAGGCAAGCAGCGGGAGTCTGCAGGGACAGGTGGCAGGCACGGGGCTGCAGGGTCTCTCCTGAAGTTGCTCTCTGCTCTGAGTGAGACAGGGACCCTGGGGGCAGACAGTTCTATGCCAGGAGCCTGAGTAAGTGACTGCTACGCTCAGGAAGGGAGCTGCCAAGGTCCTGAGGCCGGAGCAGATTCGTCAGAAGAACTGCAAGGAAGCTCAGGGACAGGGTGTGGGAGTGAGCAGGGGGTTCTCTTCCATGTTGGCTGGCAGTCTCATTTAGAGTGTCTCAGCAAGGGGTGACTGTCCCAGGGTCGCTGTGTGCCGGGTAGAAGGCATTAAGGAGGCTCGCAGAGCACTGTTGGACATGGTTGTTTGCCTCAGGTAACAATAATCAGTGCTTCTTAGCCTGCTCCTAAAGAGAGCAAAAGATGAACCGATGACAAGTCTGAATTTCGTGGTATAAAACCAGCCCCTTGTCCAGGCAGGGTAATTAGAGGAGCAAGCCTGTTTTGCATGGGGGAAAACAGGTCAGCAGTGCCCCTTGTGAGCAAGCTGGCCACACAGCTCCGCTGCCCAGCCTGTGGGCTGGCGCCAAAGGTCATAGTGGGTCTGAGGTTGGCCCACTGAGTGACAGGAGCAGTGTGCAGAATCCAGAAGGGCTCGGTCTGCAGCTGACCCAAAACTACAATTACTAGTGTGATTTTAATGAGATAAGACACCTCCTTCATAGAGTGCAGAAATAATGCCTTTGGAATTTATAAAGTGACGTGAAATTTCTAGCCAGATGACTGAACCAAAGGACACACAAGTTTATGCCTACCTCTAAAAAACTCTAGAATGTGAATCTAATGCAGTCTTTAGGGAGTTCAAGTGTAGCTGTGGGCCATCGGTCTCTGCTCCGCGTCCAGGGCTGGTCAGACCTGCCCCTGCCAAGCTGGGTGAAACTAGAAGAGCCTTCCTGGAGCATCTCAGCCACCCAAACAGCAGGCAGCCCCAGCACCTGACCACAGTCAGCCCAGCCCAGTGCTTCTCAAGTAGGGCCAGTGCTGCCCCCAGGGGACACTCGGCAGTGTCTGGAGACGAATCTGGTTGTCAGGTATGGGTGCTCCTGGCACCCGTGGGTGGAGACCAGGGGTGCTGCAGACACCTGCACTGTGTATGGCAGTCCTTCACTGCAGATGCTTGCCGCGTCCCCGGCTCCACCCACGGGTGCCAGCAGCAGGGAGACCCGTCTGCATTGGCTCTGCTCATGAGACTCCCAGCAGCCCGCACTGAGAATGGGGACGGCACGGGGGCTCCCTGGTCAGACTGGTAGCTCTCCCCCTTCCCAGCTTCCTCTCGTGGGCTCCCAGCAGGTGTGTTATTAGCCAGTTGGGGCGAATGGAGAGTGAGCAGTGAGATGAGTGACCGGTGTCCTTATCTACAGTGGTCTTGAGCAGCTCTTCTGCGTAGCTCAGGTCATCCCCTCAGCCTCCTGTCCTGCAGCCATGCTGGAGACTGGCTTCTTCAGGCTCTGAACTGACTAATCCTGTTACCCTGGTCACCCCACTCCCCTGTTTCGTACCTGAGTGTGCCGGGGAGCAGCCAGAGTCTGCATTGGCCCTGCTGCCCATCCGTCACCCAGGAGAGTGCAGCACGTGGCATCTGCCTGGGCAGCCTGCCTTCATGGCAGGTCAAACAAAAGGGTGTGGTATGGCATCTAGCTGGGCCCGGTTTGCAGGGAGCCCAATGCATGGCTGAGTGAGCCCTCTGACTTTCTCTGATCTAAATCATCAGCTGCAGGTGTGGGTGAGTGGCGTCTAGAAGTGGTGCTCTCTGCCTCACATTCACCTGCTTGCCTGTGTAGCTCCTTCCTTCCATTGCTTACCCTGCATGTTGGCCGGGAGTGGGGATCCATCCTACCTTGAGGTGAGGACCCTCTGCTCAGGACTATTGAGGTGTAATCTATGTCTTAATCTCTTTTAGGGCCAGTATGGAAATTACCAGCAATAAGGGACAAGCATTCTTGTTGGAGCCCTTGTGGTAGCGTGTCCTCCCAGGGATGGATGGGCCGGTGGCAGTTGAGAGGAATTTGCCATGTCGGTTACCCTTTGCCCTGTGCCACGTCTGCATGTGAAGCGTGCTCATTTCATGCTGGGTATGACGTTGAGTGTGCACCACTGGTGCAAGACAGCGCTGTGACGGTGTGACATATTTGGTGCTGTACATAGTATTATATGTCGATACAATGGAGAGGTTGTCCCTTTTTGTCCCCTACCCCCTTCTCGATGTCCTAGCTAGCTTTGGGGGTCATCTTGTTATCAGTGTTCTGTGTCCAGAAATGGGACGTCTCTAAAAGACTCCGTAATCCATGTATTCACATCAGCAGACCTGGGTCTTCTCCCTCTCCTTGTGCCAGTGTCACACTGTGGGTTGTAAATGTTTCTGTAACTGGCTGCACCGCCGACTACTTGCAGCCCTGGATGGCCGCGTCTGCTGTGCCTCAGTGGGGGCTGGGACACTGCCTGTGTCTTGGCCAGGTTCTGTTATGCGATGATAAGGATAAACGTGCTTCACCCGGAGAGGCTTCGAGCCGTCATTTCCAGAGCTTGCCCATTGCTTGTGCTCTCACCACTTCTGTTTATCCAAAAAGGTGTACGTCTTTGTAGCAGAAAACGAAGAGGGATCAATGACTGTATTCCAAGTAAATAGGAGTCCATGAGGGCAGCGTGTGATTAGCCCAGTGATGGCGAACCTATGGCACACATGCCACAGTGAGCTGTTTGTGTCATTGAAAGCTCCCAAAGGTTCGCCACTACTGGGTCAGCTTAACCCGGGGGGGTGCAGTACTACTGAGGATTGACGGCAGTTCTCTGCCAGCTGGGCCATCAGAAACTTTTTGGTTTGGCCTGTGCTTATCTGACATCATTTTTTAGGATTTGAATATTTAATATGCCCAGTCCTAAGCAGAGATAACTTAAAGTATTGATACCAAATTTTCCAAACAGTTGGCAAGTTTTTTATTTCGTATTATTTCTCCTAGGACCTACTTGTTCAGATCTCCAAGCAAGTATTCCTTTTCTTTTAGGGTTGTCTGAAACCCATATCCTATTTTTTAAAATTATTCCAGTAACTTTACTGTGTTCTTTCAAATGAAAACTAAAGGTTTTATATAGTAAAATTGGAATAGTTTTTACCTCCCTTAGATATCCAGTTCCATTTAAATTCTGTGCAGCACACTTGAAAATAGTCAGATGAAAAATCCTGTATATCCACGAACACGTGGCATGGACATTTGATCAACTTTGAATAATAAAACCATATTTACTGTGACTCCTTAAAAAAAAAAAATTCGGATAAATGCTGATGTATTTCCAAGAACTACTACCAAGAAAATACAAAATATATCCAATGCTTGATACATCAGGCCTACTGAAGATGTTTTTCTTTAATTGATAATTGTTATGTTCTAAAAATTAAAAGTGTTTATCCAGAATTGAGTGCTTTATATTTTATGGGATTGTTTTGTTTTGTTTGCTTGAATTAATCCTAAGAGAGCATGCTGGGAAATACAGAGCAGAGGAAGAACTTCCCAGAGGAAGAACTGGGGCTCAGATGAAAGGCTCTGTCAGTGTTGATTACCAGTCCTATCCTAGAATGTTCTCCCCTCTTCCATGAGAGAGAGACCAACAAGCATAGGCCTACAAGCATTTATTCTGTATGCATAGGGTCTAAAAAACACGGGTAAGGGCTTGAAAAATACGTATGTCCATAGAAAATCACAAAAATGAGAGCTTTTAATTGCTAAGGTATTAGCAGTTTCATTTAGGGAGTCATCTCAATTTTGCTGTTTTCCTTAGTTTTTATAGAGCTAATTTGCAGAGTCAATTGGGGACTAAAATTGCCCATTGAGAGTGTTAAACATTTTACATAACTGTGAAGACAGTCTTTATTCCTGGCCAGTCTGGGAATATGCCTTTCATGTGTGTACATGCTGTTTTTTTTTAAGCGCTATATTAATGCTTTTTGAAAGAAAAAGGACATTTAAACAACGTATCACCCCAAAACTTCAATCTGTAATGTCTTACATTAAGAATTTCTTGAATGTTGTGTATATATTTGTAAAAGCACTTTGTGAAATAGTTTGTACATTTATTTCCTAATTTATACATGATTTTTGGTGTTAATATATTTAATAACAGAATGTTTATTTAATGTTTTGTCCACTTCTATGTAATTTCGTGGGGGGAAAGTGATGCCAGCAATTCTTTTTCATTGACTGTATTATATCGTCTCTTCTGTAATTCGAATGTGTGGGAAAGCTTAGGCTGAAACGAATTGTTCATGCAGTGTGGTTGTGCTGGTTTTTTATGGCTCTGTCTGCTGAAGGCCAGAAGACATGCAAAAGGTGTGTGGATCGCCCTTCATTCTCCTCCGCTGTTTCCTGCGTGGGAAGTGACGACCGCGATCCTCTGATGTGCTGACGTACTCGCACGACCCGCAGAAGCTCATCACCCGTTAGGCTTTGTTGTTGAACCAAGGTCTCTTCGGACTTCGCACGTTAGAAAGTGCGGAGGACCTCGGACCTTGCGCTCGATCGGTCTGCATGCAACTACTGAAGTGGACAAGGTCCTGGGCCCCGAAAGGAGCCTTCACGCGCTCACACAGTTGGGGTCTAGGCGAGCTTCTCCTTCTGCCACTGTTTTCACACCCAGGCTTGAAGATCGCGCGCCTGTTCAGGATTGTAGGAGGAAGGCTTCTTTTCCATTTCCATTTAAGAATTCAAGTCATCACTCGTTTCTATTTATGTCCGATCCGTCTTGTTATTTGTGATCACCTTTTAAAAAAAAGACATCGTTACTGGTTCTTTTTTTTTTTTTTTTTGGAGATTGGGGTCTGAATTGTTTATGCTTTTGGTGTAAGCTCATAATAAACTGGTTCCTCAAAAAGCGTCCCGGGATCCATTGGCGTGCCCCGCGGGCTAAGGCTAAGCGCAGGCCGGCGCGCGCTGGAGGGTCAGGGGTCGGGCCCTGCCTTCCGCACATGCGCGCTGGCGGCACCGCGGAGCGCCCGGCGCCCGCCCCGGAAGCAGTCACGTGCCCCGGAAGTGGTGCTTCGGCGGAGCCGGTGGGTGCGGTGTGGGGAGGGAGGGCCGCTTGCGCGGTTCGCGCTGCGGGGAGGCTGGCGGTCAGGGCTGCGGGGAGGCCCCGGCATCGCGGCGGTCTTGGCTGTCGGCTTCCAGCGACGTGGGAGCCTCGGCCCGGCGCTGGGCGGCCCCT